CAAATCAAACGAGTTTCTACCGGCCTTTTCGGGCAAGATCCGTGGACCCCCGGCCCCGCTACCCGCAGTTTTCAAGATAGCGTGCACTTATCGCGCCAAGTACTTGCATGGTAGCGCGATTGGCTTCGTGTCGGCATGGCTAGTCGTGCTGATGCGAGGCTGCTGGGCCGGCCGAACAAGCATTCAGGGGGCCGGGGTGAGTTCGGAACCTGCATATACCAGCTGATTAGCTACCTAGCAGCGATCGACCCGAGGTTGGCAGCATCAGCCACGACGGCCACGACACACGGCTCGGCCATTACCCTGGCCGAGATGGGCGGCGGCACAAGCAGCTCGCAGCGACGACGAGCTACATCTCATCGCAGCTTCTTGGAGGCAGCGCGCTCACCTTGGCCATGAATTGTGAGCAGAACAATGGACTGGAGCAGTGGCGACGGTTGTGCCTACGCGAGGATGTGGCCACCAGCTCCAACAAGGCGACGCAGCTGCAGCCCCTGGCGAGCGCAGAGTTCCCGGGCAAGCGGGGGATCTACGTCGGGGGGATTGTCAAGTTCATGCGGGACATAAGCAGGTATCAGGAGAAGTTCGGCGAGGTGACCACCTACGCCCAGAGGGCTGGCGGGATTCCGCGCGAGGGGCCGCCCCTGGACGGAGGCGCGCGGGCGACTGTCAAAAGGGGACCTTGCGCGAGATGGCGAGGCGATCTTACGCGGCGGCCTGCGCGGGCAGCCAGCGCGGCGGCCCGCGTTTGAGACGAGGGCGCTCGCGCGCGACTTTACGCGGGCTGCTTTCGCGCCGGCGTCGGCGCAGACGACGCGTTTTTTTTGCTTCGCGGGCGGCCCGAACATAGGCGGGCATCTGCTCGGCAGGCAATGACGCCACCTCTAGCTTTCGCCGCGCATTTTTCAGCGGGCGCCAGATGGCATCGGGGCGCGCTGGCACGCCGCGAACACTTGACGAGACCACTTGATGAAGCCCAGCGCATGCCAAGGGAGCCCAACGGAGTTTTTCTAGTCAAGTCGTTTAATCTCATTCGGGGCCAACGCTTGTTCGCCTTCTCTTTCAGCCCGCGCAGGAGGGCTCCATGAACGCCCCCCCCCTCGATTGATCGAAGACGACCGCGGCGAATGACTGCGGCCCCCAGCTTTGTAGGATGCGCTCGCGCGGGCGAACGCTGCGGCCGCAGTTCGGCCGAGCTGCGCGTCGGCCCGCGTGTTCCCCCAGCCGTTGTGGAGAAACCAATCGGTGAACACATGGGGGACGAATCGACGATTTTGGCATTTTCAGGCCTTCCTGGGGCCCTCTTGGACAGAGATCTCCGGGGCCTCCTCGGCCGTCTTGGGCCATCCAGAGGCTATCTCGGGTGCATGTTGGGCGGTCTTGGAGACGTCTTGGGACCGCTTCGGCTCTCCTTCTGGCCGCCTTGTCCGTCCTGGGGACATCTAGGCGAGCATCGGCCATCTTGGCCCCTTCGGAACGGAACAACCGCCGGGCCCGGGCAGGCGCGCGGCCCCCCCGCGTCGCGCCAGCGGGATCGGCCGAGAACCCGCTTATGGGGATCCGCGCAGCGAGTCAGCGCGCCGCGCGCCTCTGCGGCAAGGCCACAGGAGGCGGCGGATAGTCTCGGGAGAGGAGAAAACACGCAGACACACTTCACCGTCGACCCCCAGTCAACGGGCGAAGAACGATATAAAATCAACTTTTTCGCTGTCGGGGGCGCCTGCCCCAGGGCGGCTGGAAAGTTTAGATTCTCACGGCGGCGCTGTAGGGGCATGAACTTTCCAGCCGCCCTGGGACAGGCGCCCCCGACAGCGAAAAAGTTTATGTTATACCGTTTTTCGCCCGTTAACCCAGGGCAGCATGGGAACATGCGGGGCGCGCAGGGGGGGAGACAAACAGCCCATCATGCATTGAAAGATATGGGGTCCTTGGATCTGCGCTCATGTATCCGTCTGTCTCAGGGCCTCTTTTTAGACGCAAGTGCCCAGCGCATCGGCGCCCCGCGCGCCCCTGCCTTTTCGGGAACGCCAGCGTGGCCGAGCATTGGGTCCAGAGCTTGAACTGACTGCGGGGCCACGTGTTTCCCGGACCGACGCGGGGCCCGCCCGTGGACCACGCGGGCGCGAAGGGAGGGGGCGACAGGTTACCTATGATCTTTCGCGAGGTTCACTCGGAGCCGTCGCGCGTAGCCTTTTGATGTTTTATATATATATATATATATATATATATATAACAAAAATGTTTGAAGTGTCGCGAGGGTTTCGCGGGCCGTCTTGGGCCACTTGGGGGCCGCCTTGGTCGGTGTTGGGGGTAGTCTTTCATGCGTCTCGGGCCGTCTTTGGGGCGCGTTGGATCTCCGCGGCCGCCAGGTCGCCTCGCGCAGGATTCGTCGCCGGAACACGTCCCCCGAAGCCGCTTGGGGGCTCCTGCGCGGAAGGCCCCGGGCGCAGACGACGCATCGGAGCAGGAGAATCTCTGCAGCGCGGGGCGCCCGTCGCCCTCGGAGTCCGACGACGGCATTTCCGGCGGCCGCTCCAGCTCAGAGAGCGAAGGATCTGGCGACGGCGACGAATCAGCCAGCGCGAATGATGGACAGCCACCAGGGGCGCCGGCAGAAAGGGCCCCCGGGAGTTCCCGCCCAATCTGCTCAGAAAGCAGCAGGCGAGGGAGCTTCCAGTCGCGCCCGTCGCCGCCGGCGCCCCGGCGGCGCCGAGGCCGCGAGCAGATGGGGGCTTCGCGAGCGAGCGCGGCGGCGACGTCGCCCCGGCCAGCCGCGACGGCGCCGACGTCGACGATTTCAGCGACCTTGGCGACTATTCGGGCCCGTTCCATGTGGGGGCGAAAAACGCCAGAGGCGCGTGCGAACGGAGACTGGTAGATGGACCTCGTGGACTCCGTCGTTCCGCAATGGCGGGGTCGCCCGCTGCTTCCGCCAGGCGGCGCGGGCGCGGCGCCCGAGAAGTTGTTCCGGGGCGCAGCGGCGCCCGGGGGGGTGACGCAGATGGAGAACGGTTATGGAATGCCCGCGTTGCTTTGCGGTTCCCAAGGGCGCGCTTGGACGCGCGGCCTACCGATCGCTCGACGCCGGGGAACGGGGTGGCGATCTTTCGCTCGGTCGAGAGAGGCGCAAAGACATCGTGATGGCGCGCGTCCCGGAGGGGGCGCGGCCGTCTGCAGATGAGGAGTTCATGGTTCGGGGCGCCCCGTGCGACTGACCTGGCCCTGTTCATGTTTGACACGTTACTGTTGTTCGTCATTTTGCTGCGCTTTCTTGGCCCAGGGTTTCCTCGTTTTCCTGGATCGTGCTTTCTCGTCAACGAGGCCCCTTCCAGCCTCTCGTCCCCCCCAGGGGGCTTGGCGACCGCCCCTGGGGGCGGGCGCTGGGAAAGGAGCGCGCGAGTCGGGTCTCTCGCGGGGGCCTCTGCCGAAGAAGGGGGTTTCGGGTGGCGGCGCGTCAGGGGCAGCAGCGGGCCCCGCGGCGCACTGCGTCGCTGCGGCCCGGCGGCGCGGGCGAGAGGGGGAACCTTGCGTCGGGGCGCCCGCGGGCCTGCGCCAGTTACGGCCGCGGCCGAGGTGGCGCACAACGACAACAAGAGCCACGCGTGCGTCTGCTGCGCGATGCGCACTAACGCGAGCCATTTGGGAGTGCGCATCGTGATGATTGAGACAAGGGGGAGAACGGCCTTTGGTGGATGCACGTGACAATTCCCGACGTTTTTGGCGATGCTTGCGGGGCGGCCACGCTTGAATGACGCCGTGCGGACGACGCTTTTCGCAACGGCGCGAATATATTCTTGGTTGGCTTCGGCCGTGGAAGGGTCCGAAGGCCTTCTCAGTCTGCGACCGTTTTGTGCTTTTTGGGCCCCCCTGTCTGCCTCTGGAAGGAATATCTGACGCCCTACCCCTCCCGCCCATCCTTGACCATTGCGTAGATCTCCTCTCTACTCGCACAGTCGGATGTCGAACAGGGCAATGAACCCGAGAGAGTACGCGATGCATGGTAAAGGACGGCACAGCATGGCATAGAAGAGCATGGCCAGAGCCAGCGTCGTCGGCGATTCGTTTCGACATCAAGGTCAGACATGTCACAGGTCGGGAAATGCAAATGGACGGTTTGGGAAGCGGGATGCGCAAAATGAGATTCGCCTTGAAGCGGGAACACGGTTTCGAAGGACCGCAACCGCAGAATTGTGACCAGCGCTGCAGTGGGAACGCGATTTGTAAGGACCAAAAGCGCGTATCCGAAACCAACGCTGCAGCAGGAACGCGATGTGGAAGAACCATAACAATGAGATGGGGTCTGCGCTGCAGCTTGCACATGATTTGGACAAATGGGGAGTGGGACAGTGGAGCCAACGCTGTAGCAGGAACGCCATTATGATAGAACTCGAAGCGTTAGGTTTCAGAAACACAGATGGATTGTCGATTCGGCGGCATCTTTTGTGTAAAAACATCGCGGGTGAGACCCGGACACCTCGCTGGCGCCTTCGCTGGAGAGAAGAGAGCAGCTTGCACTCATAGTGTACATTTGTAGAAGTACAGAAGGAGGAGGAGGAGGAGGAGGAGGAGGAGGAAGAAAAGGAGGAGGAGGAGGAGGAGGAACAGGAAGAGGAACTGGGGGAGGAAAGGTGGGTTGGTGATCGCAGTCGTGCTCCGATATCCCGTTCCACGAAGCCGCCATCTGATTTTCATGCTATAAGGGACGAAGCAGACTAGAGGGAGGACGAGGAGGAGGAGGAGGAGGAGGAGGAGGAGGAGGAGGAGGAGGAGGAGGCTAGGGAGGGGGGGGAGGAAGGGGGGGGGAGGGGGGGGGAAGGATGGGTTGAGGGCGAGGGGGGGGTGGAGAGGACAGAGTGGAAGCGAGAGGGAGGAGGGAGAAGAGGGGGAGGAGGATGAGGTAGAGGAGGGGGAGGAGGGAGAAGAGGAGGGAGAAGAGGAGGGGGAGAGTGGACGGGAGGCAGGGGGGGGGGAGGGGCGCGCAGGGGGAGGCCCCCGCCGCCGGCTCGAGCTGCACCAGGGCCCCACCCGAGCAGCGAGAGGGCCCGCGGCCCTGCCTGCCCCAGGGTCGGACAAGTCGGCTCCGCCCCCCATGGCTGCCGCATGGTCCGTCCGGGCCTTCTCTCGCAGGCCTAGAGGTAGATACCAACGTAAAACAACCATCGGCGGTGTGCCTCCACCGAGGGATGATCCTGATCTCTGTGATGGTTGTGCAAATTCTGGCTTCCAGGGTGACCGAAATGTTGCCACCAACACCGAAGTCTAGGATCGTCTCCACCGTGTGGAGGCAGCCCCCCTGTGTTTGTGTTGGTGCCCGTTCCCAGGCCTCCAATTCTCGGGCCACGCCAGGAGAAGGATGGCGAGGGACGATGCGGAGGACGGGGGGGGGTACTCCCCCCTGTCCCCTGCCCCCCCCCCTTCATCGGCCCTCCGTCCATGTCCTGCTCCCGCTCCCGATTACCTTCCGTCCCTCCCCCCCCTCCCACTCCTCCGCCTCCCACCCCGTCCCCATCACTCCGCCCACGCCGTTCGGCTCAAGAGGGAGCGGAAGGTCGAGAACGGCGGAGTTGCCGGAGCTGGATAAGCCCACGCCGCCGAAGCAGGTGAAGGCGTTGAGTACAGTGAAGATGTTCAGCAGCATGACGCGGGAAAGCCGAGCGGAGGCACGGCCACTCCTAACCCGGTTGCCGCGCTTGATACCACATCACACGCTGTGCGCCAGCGTGCCATCCGGGCCCGCCTGCCATCCTGGCCCGCCGCATCACAACTCGGCCCCTGCCATCCTGGCCCGCCTGCCACCCGGCGCCGCGAACTCTGGCGTCCTCCCAGCGGGACCCGCTGCTATAGCGGCGCTCGCCGCCGCCGCTGCCTGCCCCCGCGCTGCCTGCGCCCGCGAGTCCCCAGAGCCCGCCGCAGCGTTGCCGGGCCTGGACGGCCGGGGCGTGGGAGCACCCGGAGGACCCACTTCAGGAGGGAAAGAAACACACAGACACAATTAATCGGCGATTCCTCAGAAAATACGGGAAAATATGGAAAGTGGGGGGGAAGACAAAAACCCAGAAAATATGAGCAAATATGGGGAATATTTTTATTTGTGTGTCTTTATTTGTGTGTCCCAGGGCCCCTTCACCACTGCTGGCCCGCGCAGGATAGGGTTTACGGCTGGAGTGCCCCGGCTTGCCTCCCGACGATCGCGCTGGCCCTCGGCGTCGCTCGGGCGTGTGCGTTTTCTACTCGGCGAGGACCATCGAGAAGCATCCTTGATCACTTGGCGAAAAACCCACGCACGAAACCGAAAAAAACACACACGGAATGGACGTCCGAGCGATGGCGAGGGCCCTGTCGACGGCGAGCAGACGGCGCAGCGGGCCGAGGTGACCGCAGCGCTGCACGCCGTCAGCGCGGCAGGCCGTCCTGTGGAGATCGTCACCGATTCGCAATGCGTTCGGAGTGGGGTGATGGCCCTCCATGCCAGCGCCTCGCCGTGTGTTTGGCAGCACGCAGACTTGTGGGCCTTGCTCGAGCCGCACTGCCAGTCTGGGTCTGTCACCGCGAGGTGGGTAGAGGCGCACCTCGACGAGGAGGCGGCGGCGCGACGAGGCACCTCCGAGGAGGACGGGCTCGGGAACGAGGCTGCCGATCGCCGGGCGGGCGCCGTCGCGGCCGCCCGCCTGCCTGCGGCAGCCTTTCGGCAGGGGCGGGCGGTTCGGCTGGCCGCGCTCACGGCGCTGCAGACCATGTTGGCTGCGGTCGAGCTCGAGGCCCTGAAAGCCAACCATGGGAGCCACGGGCCAGGCGGCCCCCGCGTCCTTGGGCGGTGGACGGCGCCCTGGCCCAGACGACGGCAGCCCCGGGAGGCGGACGACGCGGTCGTGGCCGCTGTCCTGGCCCCCCCCCCCCCTGGCTGACGGCCATGCGCCGCGCCGCGTGGCGAGCGGCGCGCACCGGCCAGGCGCGGTATCTGCGGCGCGAGCGCTTTTTGCTGGCGGCGGCTGGCGCGCCCGCGCGGCCTCATTAGGCCCAGGCTGGGTGGCGTGCTTGCGCTGTGGCTGCTGGGCGCCGCGGTGGGAACGCCTTGCGAGCCGGCCCTGCGGCGGGCGTGTCCCAGTTCTGCCGCCGAAGGCGGCTGGACTGCTGCTGCTCCCCGCGGTGCGGGCGGGGGGGCCCGACGCTGAGTAGCGCGCGGCTTTGCAGGCGCGCCCGGCAGAGCGCCCCGGCGCACCTGACTAATTAGGTGCTGGGCTGCGCGCACCCTCGCTGCGCGCGGCCGCTGGGCGCGTCGGCGCCCGTGGCCCGTTTCCTCCCCCTCACCTTCCTCCTCTTTCCCCATGCCTCCGCCATTGGGTTTCGCATGGATGTCGAAAGCCAGCGTGCCAAAGCTGCTCCTGCTGGTGAGCCACCTGCAGGGGGGGACATATTTGGGCGCGAACCATCCTTCAAATGACCCCGTCGCACCCTGTGATGGCGCATGTCGCGCCTGCGGGGAACAACACCACGTCTTCAGAAGTCTGTCGTGCTGCATTGTGTCCAGAGACCGTGCATTGCACGGAATGGTCGGCGGTCAAGTCTTGGCTGGCTAAGACGGCAACACATGTGGTTTTGAACCAACAAAACCACCTTGTCAGTGATGTTCAGATCGAAAAAAGCCCCACCGCTGGGGGTTCCAGGGGTGTCGGTCATGGTTCCCTTTGGTGGCGTTGCGTATCACGACTCGGGACCGGTTGGGGATGCCGCGGGGCGTTCGGGGGCCTACCGTCTCATCTCGCACCGGGCCGCTGCTGCGATCCGCAGCCATGTAAGAGGTCTAAAAAAAAAACAAAAAAAAACGGGCCGCTGCTGCGATCGCTCGGGCTCCCGGGGGACGGGAGGTCTTGCCAGTGCCAGCGCACTGCAGGGGCCCGGGAGGGCCTCGCGGAGTGCCGCCCCGCGGGGCCTTCGCCTCCGCGGCCGGCCCGGCCTCGGCCCTCCCGCGGGGCCCGTCCTCCTCCTCCTCCTCCTCCTCCTCCTCCTCCTCCTCCTCCTCCTCCTCCTCCTCCTCCTCCTCCTCCTCCTCCTCCCCCTCCTCCCCCTCCTCCTCCTCCTCCTCCTCCTCCTCCTCCTCCTCCTCCTCCTCCAAAGTGCTTTTCCTGGGCCCCCCGCAGGCACCTCACAGAGTGCCCTTCCTGGGTTCCTCGCTCCACGGTTCCTTTTCCTGGGCTGCCCGCAGGCACTGCGCGAGTGCCTTCCCCAGGCGCCCGCTCGTTTGCTTGGGTCAGAGGCGCTCGCCTGCAAGCGTGTGAGTTGTGAGGCCCCACGGCGGCATCGGTGCCGCCGTGTTGCGGCTCTCCTCGACCCCTCGATGCTGGAAGGGGTGTTCGACCCCGCCCCTGAACCTCGGAGACTGGCCCCTAGAACGGGTCCGCCAGGTGTACCTTGACTCGACAGGAACGTGCACTGGTGAGTCGGCGGAGGGAGTGAGGATGCTCGACGCCTTCTCCTGTTTCGGCTGGCCTGTCCAAGGCGATCAGTAACTAGCACCTGGCGTTTGCCATGAAGCGGCGACCGAACCGCACGCGCCAATCAGATTGTCGTTCGCTCCGTCCGTCGCACGGCTGCAGGTGTTAGGCTTCTTCAAAATCACCGCCCCTCCCTGTCGATTGCCCGATATCACCAGCTCCAGGGGTGTGATCGGACCGGCTCTTGGGCCGCCGAGGTGGGACCAGGAGCTGGAAGGTGCTCAGTTCTGCTCGGGGCACGTGCGTGTCAAGGGTGCCCAGGCGGACCAAGCAGACGCGTGCCAGTTGTGTGCGTGTCGTCTGCGGGCGGATGAGGCTGAGCGTGAGATGCCGGACGACCGCCGCAGGTTCAGCTCCCCGCTCTGGCCGACCCGCGGTCGGCCCTCGCGTAGCCGGTTGGGAGGCCTCCTCTGGGACGGGCGAGCGCGTCGCCCGCCGAACACGCCTGCACCTTTCGGGCGAAGAGAACTATGCACATGCACCGATATCCTGACAACGCCCATCCTTGACCCAGGATCGGTGCATATGCCTTCCTGGCCAAGGCAGGAGGGCATATGCACCGATCCTGGGCTCAGGATGGGCCTGGCCAGAATCGGTGTATGTGCATAGTTCTTTTTCCTCTAACCTTGGCAGGCGCTCGGAGGGCACCTCTCGCCCCCCTTGCTCGCCGAAGCGCCTCGGCACGGCCTGGCGCGGCGGGCCGGCCACGGCTCCCGGCGCCTTCCCCCCGGAGCCATCCCGGCAGGAGCCGCGAAGACCCGAGACAGCTTCGGGACCTTTCTCGTCGCCCGGGCCGGGCGCTCTGCCCAGGCGTCCCAGACCCCCTCGAGGTATGACAAAAATCACGACGGGAGGTTTTTCATTATTTTTAGCCTTTGGGGGCCCTTACCGGCCCTCGGGACCGTCAAAAAACGACTCAGGACGAAAAACCGGTCCCAGGGAATGGGTCGAGACCTCGGGGGGTCGACGTCATGAAAAAATCATGACGTCGGGGGTCTGGGGTGCACGGACGCCTCCTTCGGGGCCCTGCTGCGCGGGCCGCGCCGAGCTCTGGGCGGCCCTGGGGGCCCGGGAGAGGCCGAGCGAGGCTCCGCGCCGCGGCGCCGGCTGCCTCGGCGCGGCCTCGGAGCTCATAGGGGGAGCTTCGGGGCGGGCAGGGGCCGAGGCCGGCAGGGCTCGGCGCCGGCGGGGCGGCGCAGGCCGCGCGCGGGCGCCGCGGGCGCGAAGGAGGCAGGACGAGGACGCGCCCTCCTCACGGAAGGACCCCGAGCTGTTTCGTGAGGAGCAGAGCCGAAGAAGAAAGAACTAGAGACATGAACTTTTGGCGCTCCGCTCGGACTTATTGGTTCCACGCTGGGCCCCCCTGGCGGCGCCTCCGGCGCCGCCCCTGGCGCGCTCTGCGCGCCAGGGAGGTCCAGCGCAGATCCAGACCCCCCCCCCCCTTTCTGCCCAATGTCGACACGCCGAACAAGTATACTCCAGATGTCGGCATAAAAGGGAGGGGGTCTGGACCCTCCAAGACAAGCCATTTCAGACCTCCCCCGTGGGAGAACCCTCCAAAACATCGTCCCCAGACCCCCCCCAGGCCCTCCAAGATAGCCTGGAAGAGACCCCCCCCGAAATGAGACCCCCCTCCCTTTATTACGAAATCTGGAGTACACGCTCACCAAGAGAAGCCTAAGAGGGTATAGTACCAAAACATTCTCCCCGGAGGGCCCCCGAGGCTCCCGCACGACCCCCCCTGCGGGCCTCCGAGGCCCGCCCCAACACCTTTGGCATCGCTCGGGCGTGTGCGTTTTTTTTTTCTCGGCGAGGGCCGTCGAGGAGCACCCTGGATCATCCACGCACGAAACAAAAACAAGCACAGGGAATGGACGTCCGAGCGATGGCGAGGTGAGGATCGTCGGCCGTTTTTTCTCCGCGGGCGTGGGCGTGCAAGTGCCGACGCGGTGGAGCCTGGAGCCCTTCGCCGCGGTTCCGCAGCCTTGGTCGCTTCTCAACCCGCGCATCCTGGATCATCCAGCACACAACACGCACGAAAGCGACCTCTGCACGGGGGAATGGACGTCCGAGCGATGGCAAGACATCGATGCTCATGCCTTGGTTCATCTCCCTGGCCTCCACGACGGACTGTCAGCCACCTCGTGTCTGAAGGCGAGAGAGGGCTGCGGCGTGGCGTCTAGTGGGAAAAGCGATCAGGAGGGAAAGAAACACACAGACACAATTAATCGTCGATTCCCGGGAAAATGTGGGAAAGTATGGGAAGTGGGGGGAGGACAAAAACCCAGAAAATATGAGAAACTATGGGGAATATTTTCATTTGTGTGTATTTGTTTGTGTGTCCCAGGGCCCCTTCAAGCGAATGTTCCCTGGCAGAGCTGTTACCCGAAACCGCCCACGCCCAGAGGGTTCTTGGGAGCTCGCCGTGACGCTCCGGAGTGCTGGTCGCTCTGCCCCTGGCCAGGTTCATGCCAGGGCTCTGGTGAGATCGGCGGTGAGTATGTAATCATGCACCTGCACTTTCACCACTCAAAGTGTACTAATCTCAGGAGGAGAAAAAACACACAGACACAATTAATCGTCCACTCCCAGGAAAATATAGGAAAATATGGGAAGTGAGGGGGAAGACAAAAACCCAGAAAATATGGAAAATATGGGGGATATTTTTATTTGTGTGTATTTATTTGTGTGTCCCAGGGCCCCTTCATAATCATGCACCTGCACTTTCACCACTCAGAGTGCAATCACGCATAGGTCGGAGCAGAAACTTGTCTGGGGCGCGCACGACGCAAGCAACAAGAACGGACCGCTCGATCGACCTGCGCGAATCACAGGCCACGAGCAGCAGCAAGCTGTACATTCCTGTGCATGCATGTGCGCAGAGGTGCACAACACCACGAGGAGGAGGAGGAGAAAAAGAAATGAGGAATGAAGGGCAGGGATGCATCATGAGAGCTACAAAGCCTAGCTGGACACGGTACTGGCAAGGCGTTTTCTTCGTAATCATTGTTTGGTCTTCTTTCTCCCTCCCCTCTTTCTTCTCCGGCTTCTCCCCCATCCTGCTGCTCTTCCGTTCCTTCCTTCCTCCTCGTCCTCCAGTTTTTCTCGTGCTTATCTTTTACCACCTCCCACCTCGTCTCCTTCCCCTGTCCTCTCTCATGTTCCTCGTCTTCGTCCTACGCCTTGCCATCCTCACCCTCTGTCCTCTCCCTCCCTGCCCTGGTCATCCGCGCCCGCGCCCCCCCCCCCCTAAGCCTCTCCCCCTGGAGCCCCCTGGCCCCCGCTCCTCCCGGTCGTGCGCTCCCGCCCATCATGCGCCCGCCACGAGGAGTCCTCCTCCTCCTCCTCCTCCCCCTCCCCCTCCTCCTCCTCCTCCTTCTCCTTCCCCATCTCCTCCTCCTCCTCCTCCTCCTCCTCCTCCCCCTCCCCCTCCTCCTCCTCCTCCTTCTCCTTCCCCATCTCCTCCTCCTCCTCCTCCTCCTCCTCCTCCGGAGGCGGAGGAGGAGAGGGAGGAGGACGAGGAGGCGCCTGCCTCCCTCCGGCTCCTCCCTCTCCCCGGTGCGCGTCGGCAGGTCGGGCGGCATCGTGGGCGTCCTGCGCACCCCGACGTTCTACGTGGAGACGGAGCAGCAGCGCAGGAGCGCTCCTCGGGGGTGGCTCTAGGAGGGGATACACCTTAGGCGATGCTTAAGAAAACCTAAGTTTTCGGCCAGAGTCTCGATGATTCTTAATGTTTCAATGTAAATCCTAAGATTTTGATAGAAATGTTGGGTTGTATTAAAATTCTGAGACCATGAATTTCTTAACCCATGATTTCTTAAGCATTTCGCAGGGTGTAGGCCCAGAGGGGGAAGCATCGACCCCCAGTCGCCCTCGCATCGCCGCCGGGCGCCTGGCCTGTCGCCCCGCCGAGGGAGGAGCAGCGCAGGAGCCTCTCACCCCGAAGACGGAAGCGTCCCGAGCCGAAACATTCGGAGGTCTGCGGAGTTCCTTCAGGAGGGGAAAAAACACACAGACACAATTAATGGTCGATTCCCCGGAAAATATAGGAAAATATGGGAAGTGGGGGGAAAGACAAAAACCCAGAAAATATGGGAAAATATGGGGGATAATGTTATTTGTGTGTATTTATTTGTGTGTCCCAGTTCCCCTTCATTCCTGGATCTGCGCTGCACCCCGCTGGCGTCGCCTCCAGACTCCAGGGTCGTTTTTGGCACGCTCCGCGCGCCAGGGAGGGGGGCCCAGCTTCGATCGGAAGAACTCTGCGCGAACTGTCGAAGAACTCTGGTTGTGGTTGATCTTCTTGCAGGAGCGCGGCCGCGGCGTAGGGGCGGGGCGACGTGTTCGGGCGGCTGGCGGTCGCGTGCGCCGCACGAGGGATGTTGTGTTGATAGGGTGGCTCTTTTCCGGCAGCCGAGGAAGGCACGGTTCGACCAGCGGTCAACGATCCCGCTTCCTCGTGCGAAACTCGCGCAGCGTGGTCGGTCTCGACGGAAGCGCTGGATCGAATTTCGACATCAGGACCATGTCTGTATGACCCGCCACTGCTCCTCTTTCGGTCGCCTTTGGGCTCCAAGCGTGAACTGAGCCCCTTCCTCCTCTGTCCCTCCTCCCTCTCTCCAACCTCCCCCCCTCCCTCCCCCCTCTCCCCATGTACTACGACATCCGATTGTGTGAATCGAGAGGAGATGTCGCCATGGTAAGGGATGGGAGGGAGGGGTAGGACGTCGGATATGACGCGAGCGCACCTAGCTTGCCCCTCCCCCCCTCCCTCCCGTCTCCCCCAAGTCATCCCAGAACCCAGGCCGTGCCTTGCATCGCAAACGCGTGCAGGCCGACGGCTGCGCCCAGCGCATACGACAGGCCCGGTCAGCTCCCGCGTGGGATCGTGTTGCCTATCCCAGAATGGTCCCATAATAGTATTAAATCGGGCGTGTGCCTCTACAGGAGGAGTGTTCACAAATGGTTAAAAATTAAACAGGGACGTTTTTTTTGTATTTTCGGATATGTTGAATATTTGTTGAATTTGTTTCATTTTTCCCCCAAGATCAAAAACCGCATGTAGGAGGACATGCCCGACCTAAGAATAGTCTCCCAACATTAGCCCCCCCGGCTCAAGCCTTGAGGAGGAGGAGGAGGACCAGGAGGAGGAGGAGGAGGAGGAGGAGGAAGGGAGGAGGAGAGGAAGGATGAGGGAGCTGGTGAGGAGATGCAAGGCAGAGGGGGCGTGTTCTCGGCCCGAGCATAGTGTGAGCCGTCCGGTCCTTCCGTGAGCGCGCGTGCACGCGTCAGAGACGAGGGCTTGGAAGAGGAAGAGGACGAGAACCAGGAGGCGGACGGAGGCCAGGCGGGAGCTTGGGAGAAATCAAGCATCAGCGCACTGGCCAGGGTGATGACGGAGAGGAGGTCATATGAGCGACGAAAGAAAACGGGGGTGTCTGCGCCGACGTTGGCGCGCAAGTTGCGCAGGTAGGGTCGCGCGCGAGGGCTCTCGTCTCCAGTGTGGCGTGCCGCGCGGGCGGCTTGCGTGAGCCGCCGCGTGACAGACGACGCGCCGCGCGCGGACTCCACGGACAGCACGACGGCGAAGGCGGCCCCCGGCAGGTGCCATTTGTGATGAGCCTGTTTTCCACCACCACCACCATAAGTTGGAGGGGGGAAGGAGGAGGAGGAGGAGGAGGAGGAGGAGGAGGAGGAGGAGGAGGAGGAGGAGGAGGACCACACCCCCTCCAACTTATGATGGTGGTGGTGGAAAACACGCCCATCAATTTGCACTGACGACGGAGAGAGGAGGGGGGAGGACGCCGAGGAGGCAGAGGGAGGCGAGGAGTGCCCGTGGCCTTCGCGCTGCGCGGGGCCGGCCCCCGTGCCGCAGGGCGCAGAGTGGCTCGGCCCCTCCAGGGGGCCAGCGCCGAAGTCGAGCTGCAACGCTCTGCTGCCACGTCGGAACGAGCTCCAGCATTGTGCTGGTGGAGACAGCCCCGTGCAACGCATATTGAAACCACAAGACAGGAGGAGAAAGGAGGAGGAGGAGGAGGAGGAGGGGGAGGAAGAGGAGCAGGAGGAGCACTGCTCTTGGCGCAGGCCATGGTAATTGGTCCGCACCTGCATCGCTGGATGTCCGCCATCGGCGCCCCCCCAAGGATCCTCAGTACGTTTCACAAGAATACGGAGGACATCAAGGAGGAGGTCCACAAGACCAAGACTCTGTGCTTCAGCGCCCAGGCCAGGCCTTGAAGATCTCCCTCAGAAAGATGGGCGATCGGGAGCGCCAAAAGCAGTGACTGGTGTGAACAGGCAGGCTTGAAGGCACGCTGTCGATCATGCACTCACGCAGACAAGCAAGCAAACACACAAACAAGCAAACACACAGTGGAGAACGCACGCAAATAGGTTCGAGCAATCAATTGAACAAACAATTGCACACATACAGACACAAACACTGACACAGACACAGGCACAGGCACAGGCGTAGGCACAGACACGGAACCGACACAGTCACAGACACAGACACAGGCACAGACAGATACAGACACAGACACAGACACACACACACACAACACACACCACACAACACACAACACACAACACAACACACACAACGAACACACACACACAACACACAACACACAACACACAACACACACACACAACATAGATGACACACAACACACAGCACACAACGCACAACACACGCATACACGCACACACAACGCACAACACACACACCACTCAACACAACACACAACCCACAACCCACAACACGCAACCCACAACACCCAACGTACAACACACCGCACAGCACACAACACACAGCACGCAGCACACAACACACAACGTACAGCACACACCACACAACACACAACACACAGCATGCAACACACAACACACAACACACAGCACACACCATACACCACACAACGCACATCACACATCACACAACACACACCACACAACACGCAAACACAGAAGCACACAAGCACACAACACACACAAACACACAAACCCGCAAACCCGCAGCTACATAAACACACACACATCCAGAAGCACACAACGCACACAAACACACAATCACACAACCAAACACACAACCAAACACACACAGACACACAATCACACAATCACACCAACACACATATCCACAATTATACACAGACATGCAAAAACACCAGCACACAACCACACACAAACACACAAACACACAACTACACTACTACACACCGACACAACTACACAACTGCACGAACACACGAGCACACAACAAGCACACACACACAGCCACACAAACGCACACACGCTCACACAAACACATAAGCACACACCCACAAACACAGCAGCACACAAACACACACACAAGCACGAACACACTAACCCACAAACACTCAACACACAAACACACACAACCACACACAAACACGCACACGCACACGCACACGCACACGCACACGCACACACACACTCGCACGCGCACGCGCACGCACGCACACGCACACACGCACACGCACATACGCACACACGCATACATTCACACACGCACACGCGCATACGCACACACGCACACACACACACACACACACACGCACGCACGCACACACGCACACACACTCACAATAATGAAAGTACACGGGCACACGCCACCGCTAGCAATCAACTGTGGCGTGAATCTCGATTGGAGGAGAATCAGTGGCAGGGTAATCGCGAGGCAACACTCAATCGAGCACGCCCAACAGAAGTTCCGTCGGGGCATCCCGCCACCGTGCCAGAGTCGCGGGTTAGAGGCGTGTTGGATGCCTCTCGGGTTCCTGGGGTACCTCTCGGCGGCACCTCGGTGGCTTATTGTGGGCTTCTTGGAGGCTTCCTGGGGCCTCGTGGGAGCCTTGTGGGGGGCTTTGGGGGGTTTCTTGGAGGTATCTTGTGGGTTCTTGCGCTGTCTTGGGCACCTCTTTGGCATTGGCCGTTTGCGTTTGGGGACCTCTTTGTGGGCCTCTGGGGCCGTCTTGGAGGGATCTCTCGGGTGCCTCTTGGGCCGTTTAGGGCTGTCCGAAACCCAGATAAGCAAGAGAACCCTAACAGTTGTCAAACACAAAGGGACATCATTTCCGTTTGCGCCCTGGGTCCCTCTTGGGAGCCATCTTGCGGGCATTTTGTATTCGGGACGCTTTGGCCATCTTGAGGCCATCTTGGGCCGAGTTGGAGAACTCTTAAGCCGTCGCGGGGCCCTTGAATCTGCTTTGGGCCGCTCCTGGGGCTGTAGTGGCGGTGCGGAAGCCCGCGCCACGGAGCTGCGGCATGCCAACGGGGACCTTGCTGGGGTACTTCTCCGCTGGGGACCCCCAGGGGCCGCCGCGCGCCCGCGGAGACGGAGCACGCGAATACTCTGCACATCCAGCGCGCCCTCTGGCCCTCTGCCGGCGAACTCCTGGGATCCCGACGCGCTGCTCCAGGGCGCGCTGCAAACTTTCCTCGGCGGTGGGCCGCGCGCGACGGCCGTGCGCACCCCGCGACAAGGGGGCCCAGGGTTAGGTCGGGCCCTGTCCTCCTACAGGCGGCTTTCCGACGAAGAATCAAGAATAGGCAAAACACATGCACCAACAATACCTTCAAAATAGTCAAACCAAATCTTCCCCTGATTTTGTTTGTTCTTGTTGTTCCCAACCATCCTGTGGTGTTGGGTCCTCGTGTTGAAGAGACGGTGCCCCGCGTCCTCCTCTCCTCTCCTCTCCTCCTCTCCTCTCCTCTCCTCCTCCTCCCCATCCTCCTCCCTCCTCCCCCTCTTCCCTGCGTTTCACCCACCCAGTACACGCTTCGTGGCCACATAGGAGCTCCGCCGAAGGCCCCAGTGCTGCCGCCCGCATGCGTCACCCACACCCACTTCGGCACACCCCTCACACGTTTCGTGGCCCCATAGGAGCTCCGCCGAAGGCCCCAGTGTTGCCGCATGCATGCGTCACCCACACCCAATTCGGCACACCCCTCACACGTTTCGTGGCCCCATAGGAGCTCCGCCGAAGGCCCCAGTGTTGCCGCATGCATGCGTCACCCACACACTCAATTCGGCACACCCCTCACACGTCTCGTGGCCCCATAGGAGCTCCGCCGAAGGCCCCAATGCTGCCGCCCGCATGCGTCACGCACACCCAATCGGCACACCCCTCACACGTTTCGTGGCCCCATCCGAAGCTCCGCCGAAGGCCCCAGTGCTGCCGCCCGCGTGCGTCACGCGCACCCAATTCGGCACACCTCCACACGTCTCGTGGCCCCATAGGGAGCTCCGCCGAAGGCCCCTGTGCTGCCGCCCGCATGCGTCACCCACACCCAATTCGGCACACCCCTCACACGTTTCGTGGCCCCATAGGAGCTCCGCCGAAGGCCCCAGTGCCAGCCGCCCGCATGCGTCACCCACACCCAATTCGGCACACCCCTCACACGTTTCGTGGCCCCATAGGGAGCTCCGCCGAAGGCCCCAGTGCTGCCGCCCGCATGCGTCACCCACACCCAATTCGGCACACCCCTCACACGTTTCGTGGCCCCATAGGAGCTCCGCCGAAGGCCCCAGTGCTGCCGCCCGCATGCGTCACGCACACCCAATTCGGCACACCCCTCACACGTTTCGTGGCCCCATAGGGAGCTCCGCCGAAGGCCCCAGTGCTGCCGCCCCCGTCATGCCCGCACATGCAGTCTGGGCCTTTCGTCCATAGGGAGCTCCGCCGAAGGCCCCAGTGCAGCCGCCCGCATGCGTCACGCACACCCAATTCGGCACACCCTCACACGTTTCGTGGCCCCATAGGGAGCTCCGCCGAAGGCCCTAGTGCTGCCGCCCGCATGCGTCACGCACACCCAATTCGGCACACCCCTCACACGTTTCGTGGCCCCATCCGGAGCTCCGCCGAAGGCCCCAGTGCTGCCGCCCGCGTGCGTCACGCGCACCCAATTCGGCACACCTCCACACGTTTCGTGGCCCCATAGGGAGCTCCGCCGAAGGCCCCAGTGCTGCCGCCCGCATGCGTCACCCACACCCACTTCGGCACACCCCTCACACGTTTCGTGGCCCCATAAGGAGCTCCGCCGAAAGCCCCAGTGCTGCCGCCCGCATGCGTCACGCACACCCGATCCGGGACACCCCTCACACGTCTCGTGGCCCCATAGGGAGCTCCGCCGAAGGCCCCAGTGCTGCCGCCCGCATGCGTCACGCACACCCACTTCGGCACACCCCTCACACGTTTCGTGGCCCCATAGGGAGCTCCGCCGAAGGCCCCAGTGCTGCCGCCCGCATGCGTCCCGCACACCCAATTCGGCACACCCCTCACACGTTTCGTGGCCCCAAAGGGAGCCCCGAAGGCCCCAGTGCTGCCGCCCGCATGCGTCCGCACACCCAATTCGGCACACCCCTCACACGTTTCGTGGCCCCATAGGGAGCTCCACCGAAGGCCCCAGTGCTGCCGCCCGCATGCGTCCCGCACACCCAATTCGGCACACCCCTCACACGTTTCGTGGCCCCATAGGGAGCTCCGCCGAAGGCCCCAGTGCTGCCGCCCGCATGCGTCCCGCACACCCATTCGGCACACCCCTCACGCGCTTCGTGGCCCCATAGGGAGCTCCGCCGAAGGTCCCAGTGGGTGTGCCCGCATGCGTCCCGCACACCCATTTCGGCATGCTCTTCACACGTTTCGTGGCCCCATAGGGAGCTCCACCGAAGGCCCCAGTGGGTGTGCCCGCATGCGTCCCGCACACCCATTTCGGCACACCCCTCACACGTTTCGTGACCCCTCACACGTTCCGTGGTCCCATAGGGAGCTCCACCGAAGGCTCCAGTGGGTGTGCCCGCACGCGTCCCGCGCACCCATTTCGGCACACCCCTCACACGTTTCGTGGCCCCATAGGGAGCGCCACCGAAGAAGATATTCACAATTGCGGTATTCACAATTGCATATGGTTGGGTCCTTCGCCTGGATTTTTTTTATTTTATTTTTGAGTCTTCCTCCTGTGCAGGGACGCGCCCGACTCTTAAGCCCGGGGGGCCTCCCGCCCCCGCCCCCGCGCGTCGCCCGCGGCCCGCGGCTGTGTGCGTGCCGCGGAGGCCCTGCCCGGACCGCCCTGGCCCACGCGAGTGGGCCGCCTCGCGCGCGCCACCCGCCGCCCCGCGGGGGTTGCTTTGTGCCGCGTCGGGCCGCAGCCGGCCTTAAGTCGGGCACGTCCCTCTGCAGGAGGACAGCTCAAACACAGGC